TACCTAGACAAGCAAGATCACCATGCACAGGTCCACTACTAAATCTCTGAAGCTTTGCAATAGGTACTGAGTACCCCTGAAGTTTTCAGTGTATTAAAATTCTTTTCTGGGAAACCTAAGAGTGGGTTGAAGACAGGAAATCCTCTCTGAGGAGTGTGTTGGCAGTGAAGAAGGGAACTAAGGGAGGTTGAAGTTATTAAAAGAAAAATAAGGGAAAGGGAAAGATATTTTTAAAACACTCTACATTTAAAAATAACTTAGGAGGGAGAAAAGGAGCAAACAGCATAGAGGAGGCTACAAGCAGTGTTACTAGGAGGAAGCCCTGTCCAAAAGCGGTGGGGTACACCTCTGCACACCGTGAGTGAAAAGGCGTTAACGGGTATAGTCTCTACAGAGCGTAATTTAGCACCGTCAAAACTACAATTCGACTTCTAGAATTTACCCCACGCTCCATGTGGTAAATGTCTTAAGAACGATGTGCTTTATAAAAATGACAGATCGGAGAAATCTAAATGTATTATCAACGATTGGTTAAATACTATATTATAGTATTGTACACCCATAAAGTCCTATACCATGGTAGTATGCAGATTACATGATATAAAATTATCTCCAAAATAAATTCAGACATAGAAAGATGTGGAGGAATGTGCTAGTATTCACGCAGGTACAGGACACGTCACGGAAGACGGAAGATGGCAACTGGAGCCGCCAGTACGAAGAAGCCGGGGGCCAGGACCGGAGACTTCAAGCGTCACCTTTTATCCTGAGCTCTGAACCTTGTGAACGTCCTGTCTAGCCAAACTGATGTGATTTTAAAGAAAGCTCCGCGCAGGCCTGGCTCCAGGGCGACGGCACCGAGCTGTCAGGCTGTGCGCGGGGCGGGAACGAGGCTCGGGGTCCGGGGTGCGGGGCGGGGAGCCGCGGGGGCTGCGAGGCCGACGGCGCCGCGCGCTCGACAGCTGCGGAGGAGGAAGAACTCCGACGGGCAGGGGAGGAAGCCAGAACCGGAGCGGAAGAGGGCCAGGGGCGGAGAGGCAGGGACCGTCGGCCCGGACCAATCTCAGGGTCAGCACGGGACGGAGCGCCCCAGCCGGCCCCACCCCGGCTCCTTGGCGCCCCGCCGGCCACTGACCTCGGATGGGCTTGTCGTCCTTCTCATCCTCTTTGGTTTTCCGCTGATCGGCGCCGAGGTAATCGGGCATTTTAGGAGATGCTAGCGCCTCAGCTCCTCCGTGATTACGCAGCACCTTCCTCGCTTCCGACGGTGCCCTCCCTTTTCCATTCCCCACCGGAAGTAGAACCCGGCTCGGCCAGTTTCCACCGCGCCCGACAGGCGGAAGAGCTCCGGGCAGCGCGCCGGCTCCCAGGGCCGGCGTCGGAAGGTTCCACCTGGGAGCAGGGAAGGGCGCCCGATCTCAGTCTCAGGTCTCTGGAGACTCCTGATTAGGCAATTCCCAGAGCTCTAGCTCAGTCCATGAGTTTAAATCCGGGTTTAATTATTTACTTAGTGTGCAATCTTGGGTAATCTTTAAATTTTAGTTCTCCTTCACCGCACAGGAATGGGAAGGCACTAAGTAACAGTGTTTGTGAAATGCCAGATGTGTTAGCACAAACCCCAGAGACGAGAGTTACAAATAGAGACGGTCACACATCTGTCCTAATCAGCTGATATCCTGAATACACACAAAACTACAACGCAACAGCAAAACAGTATGACTTTTAAGATGTGCAAGGAGGGGCCGAGGAGCTAGCTCAGTAGAATAAGTGCTTGCCTGGCAAGCACAGGGTCCTGAGTTCAATCCCTGGTACCACAAAAAAAAAAAAAAAAAAAAGGTGGGAAAGGAAAAAAAAAGCAATAAATAAGATGAGCAAAGAACATGAATAGACATTTCTCCAGAGAAGACATGCAAATGGAGAGGAAGTAAAAAGATTTATGCAGTGTTATGTTCCAGTACCAACTCCCTACAATGGATAGTCACTACGCTGCAGACATGTCTAATATATTTAAATACTCATCAGTAAACACTGGGGTGGGGGAAAGAAAGTACACAAATAGTTAACATGTAAAAGACCCAACATTATTAGGAAAATACCAATGCTATCTTAAAAAAAAATAAAGCAAAAGAGATAAAATACCCAGTGTGGATATGGAAAAGTAAAATGTGTGCACCATTATGTGTGTAAAATGATGTGATGGTTGTGGAAAAGTGTGGTTCCTCAGCCTGGGCTACAGAGTGAGCCCAAGGCCAAGCTCAACCGCATGGTGACAGTCTGTCTCAAAAAAAAAAAAAAAAAAAAAAGAAAAGAAAAGAAAAATGAAAAGTGTGGTTCCTCAAAAAAGAAAATAAAAATAGATTTAGAATATGACCTAGCAATTCTATAAATACATATACATCCTAGGACATTGAGGGGGCCTGCCCCTTAGCTCAGTTCTTTAAGTGGCTGCTTCAACAAAGCAGTCAGGCTCAGGTTGCTGCGGTTGGATCCCCACAACTCAAGCCAGCCAAACCTGCCCTGAAGGCATTCTGAGAAAAAAAAAAATCCTTCTGCCTAGGACATTGAAAACGGCATCTCAGAGATAATTTGTACACCTGGGCGCATAGGTACATTATTCATAGTGGACCAAAGGTGAAAGTAACCCAAATATCCATTTTCAGATGAGTGAATAAATAAACCATGTGGCATATGGACAGAACAAACTATTAATCAGCCTCTAAAAAACAAATGATGATACTACAATATGGATGAACCCTCAAAACACCAAACTTGTGAATAAGCCAGTCATGGAAAGAAATAAGGTGTGACTTCACTCTGATGTGATAATGGGAGAAGTCAAATTCATAGAAATATAAATGAGAGAGTGGTTGCCTGCATCTGGGACAAGTGTCGTTCTGCAAGATGAAAAGGTGTCCTGGAGATTAGTTTCAAATACACTTAGCACTACTGAGCTGTACAGCTGTACTGAGATGTACCCTTCAAATTATGAAAATGGTAAATTTCATGTTATGTGTATTTTATAATTTTTTAAAAAAAAAATCTTAAAGGCAAAGATAAGGCTTCATGGGAGGAGGCCTGAGGGGAAATATATTAAGACACTGGAAGCCAGGTGTAGTGACACATGTGATCTCAGGACTAAGAAAGCTGAGGCAGGAGGAGGAGGAGTGTGAGGCCAGCTTGGACTGCAGACCAAGGTGGAATCCTGTGACACAGCAAAATCTTGTCCCAAAAACCAAACCAAAAACAAAACAGTGAGCTCAGGCTTGCACTTTAGGGCATATTTTTAACAGTGGCTGCACCATGACAGGGGCCAGGGAGATGTTTTGGAGGAAATAATCAGCTTTTAGGATATTAATTTTGAAGTGAGAACTTGGCTGTGCAGCTATACAAATTCAAGATATGTAACATTGAAAATGAAATTTCTATAAAATTATCTGCTAATTGTGAGTGCTCCATGATGAACAGTGACACCTCAAGCCCATCCATTGTAACCGAATCTGTACAGGACACTGCTACTAGAGGTGAGCTTTCATGCACTGGTTTTCTTTTGCATGAAAGTTTTTGGTTTTTTATCTCAGTCCTACTATAGAAGGAAGCTAATTGTAGAAATATAATTGGTTTTACAGTAACCAAACCCTAGAGTCCTGTACTTGGAAATACCTTGGGAAAAAAATTTCTCTTAGAGAAGGGTAAACATATTGTTGGCACTGGAACAGGAACTAACTCGAATGTATTCCTTTTTCCAAATAAGCATTATAAGAGATACTACAGATAAAATAGCAGTAACACAACAAATTTTAGTTGCTCCCTTTATGGAGAAAGTATATCCAAATGCATCACAGGAATACATCCATAATTAGGGATGTATATATACAAAAGGATGTATCATCAATACTAGTTCCTAAGTGACTCTTCATTTTTTATGTATATCAATACATCTGCTGAAAAACAAGTGGTTAGGCTGAGTCTGATACATAAAGGAGCAGTCTAGTGGCCAGCTGATGATCAACCCAACTGAATTGAATGAGCATGGTACTGGGTGTGGAGGCTCACCTGAGGATTGCTGCCAGCAGCCTATAGGCAGCACGGAAGAAGATGTCGGTATGCTGTTAGGAATACCGTTTGGAGCAGCTAATGGAGCTGTTGGAAGCTGCTGGTTTCCTTGGGCTGTTCTGCTGGAGGACCTTGTCATACTGGCTTTCCTGATGAGCTTCGGAAGAGCTTTTGTCCTCATTTTGAGCATCACTTCCCGGCTCTGGAGGGAAGGATGATGCAGTCCAACCTCCTAGAGAAGCTTGTCCCACTGGTTTTCCTCAGGACCTCACTGTTGCAGAGGATAGCTGTGGTACTTTGGGGGGAGCTTGTTGAACATAGCTTCCTGGCTTCCGTTCATCCTGGTGGCATGGACTTCCTAGCTTCTACCACTCATTTTTGGGCCTTTCCATCATAGATCAGTAAAGAAGGCCTGCAGGAGACTATTGTGGGCTCTAGGCCGCCAGTTGGACTTGTGGGAGGCATTGTTATGAGCTCTATGTTTTCATCTAGACTCATGTAAGATATTAGGATCCAAGCCCTCAGCTGGATTCTTTAGTGTTTAGTGTGTGGACAGATTTCTTGCACTTCTTGTATGTGATTCTTGGGTTATTCCTTATAAAATATTATAAAATGTGCCCTGTATTATATTGTTCCCCTTGGAAAAACCTCAAACCATGACAAGTTGATTTCACTGTTTGTGTTGAGTATTAACTAAGATCTTCGCACACGCAAGATTATTTTGGTTTTCTTTTCGAGCTGCTTTTAAAAGTTCTCACCTACGTAACTGCATGTGGAAGAGAGATACTGTACAGTAATTGTCTTCCCAAGGAAACTGACGACACTAGGAACCGTTCCTTCGTACGCCTTTGTCTCCAGCCGGATCCGAGTCTGGGTCGGAACCCCGCTGCCTCACACGTTGGCGCGGGCGATGGGGGTGGGATTGGCGGCCGCACAGCGAAAGACCCATCCCGGAAGTGCTTACCAGTCGTCTCCATGCGCCGGCTCCCGGGCGCCGGAGCTGCTGGGCGCGAGGCTCGGACCCGGCGGTAGAACTGGCGCGGATGCCGACGGCCCCCTGCCGGGAACGTGAGCCGCTGCGCCCGCCGGCCGAGCCCGCGCGCCGAGATGCTGCTGCTGCCGAGCGCCGCCGACGGCCAGGGCACCGCCGTAGCCCGCGCGCTGACCTCAGGTACGCGCCCCGGCCCCAGCGCCGCGCCCCCCAGCTGCGGCCTCGCCCCCCGGCCGGCCGGGACCTGCGACCTGCGACCTGCTCTGGACCCCGGCGGTCCGGATGGGTGGCCCGTTGTCCCCTGCTCTAACGGAGCCCTGCCCGGCTTGTAAAGGAGAGGTCGGGGGGCGCCGTACCGCAGCCCCCACTCGGGTCCGTGCTCAGGCTGCTGACTCACGGGTCGGGGGGACCGAGAACCGAACCCGTCACCAGCCCGAGAGATGCCAGAAACAGCTCCCCGCGGGGAGACCCCGCCGCGCGGGCTCCCACGTGCCCGGCGGTGCAGCGCGGGTCGCCGTGCAGCTGCCCTGCGGCCGAGGCTCCACCGACCTCCGCGGAGCGCGGGTGCCTGCCGGGCCGCCGGGGCTGGGCGCGCTCGCCGGGCAGCCCGCGAGTGGAGTTTGCCCCGCGGCCGCGGTTCTCCCATTGATACCCCCGCACAGTCGTGCGTGCGGAACACGCGAGTTTTTTCAGTTTCAGAGGTGTTCGTCGGTTTCCGCAGCCTTCTCCTTAGGTGCTCGTCGAATGGGATCTTTGCTTTTATCCCATAGCCCGTGTTGTGTTTGTGTGTCTGTGTGCACCCTTACACCTAGAAGGGCTGGTTTCTAAAGACACACCCCCACTGCATAGGTACTATTTTTCAGACGTGGTGTTTGAATCGTTTGCAAAGTGGAGAACTCTTAAATCTCCCGAACCAATGAAAACATAAAATGTAAGTTAGTTTTTAGAAAACAGTGGCCATCAGGTATGAAGGAAAAACTTCAATTTAAGTTATTCATTACTGGAACCAAAACAAAAAAATTTTTTTTTGCTTTTTTATAGAATATGAAATTCATAGTTTATTTAGGTTTTTTTCTAACTCAGGTTTTCATTTTTGAATTGCTAATATACAGTTATACAGTGATTTATTCCAACTTCCTGGTAATACATAGTGCCTTTTCAGTTTATAATTTTCAAAGTGTGTTATGCTTCTCATTCATTCTTTTTAGAAACTGTGTGAAGTAAATATTGTTCCTATTTTACAGTTGAGACCATCTCTGAATCCCCTCAAGATTAGAGGGGATTAGCACATAGCCAGACCTAGACTAAAACCTAGACCCAGAGCTTGTTCCAGTAGAGCACAATGCCAAGTAGTAGATCCCCTATAGCTGCTTGTAAAAAATTGTCCTTTACAGAAAAAAAAATCATTGCTAGTGCATCATAAAATAATGAGGTAATATTTCAAGATTTTCTTTTTGTCTTTTTTGAGACAGAATCTCACTCTAGAGTTCAGTCTGGCTTTGAGCTCACTTTGTAGCCCAGGCTTGTCCCTCCTAACGATCCTCCTGCCTCAGCCTCCTAGTTCTGAGGATTATAGGTATGCACCACCATGTCTGGTTCAAGATTTTAATAATTAAGATACTTTGAATTATTTTCAGAAGAGTTTTGTTGTTTTCCTTAGGCTCGCTCTTGGTGACATCATTTATTGCTTTGTTCCCATCATTGGTATAAAAGTAAAGCACTTTGGAATGTTTCTTCCTATTCCTCACATCCTCTCCTATTCCCAAAAGTTTTGATTTATTAACTTTGCTGAGAATTTCATCAGCAAATTGGAAGAGTTCATGAAATACACTAAATATTAGTGTATTAGCCAATTTTTTGCAAGCACTCATCTAAACTGGATGAGTAGTTATTTTTGTAGTTGATGTTTGAAAATTACATTCTGAAGGTATCATGATTTTGAGCTTAGGTCATAAGAAAGACGATTGTCTTATAACAGATCTGTTCTGTGCAGTGCATTGAAACCTATCTTGTCACTTTTCATCACAGCTTCTGCACTCTGTCAAGTTGAACCTGTGGGAAGATGGTTTGAAGCTTTTGTTAAGAGGAGAAACAGAAATGCTTCTGCCTCTTTCCAGGAGCTGGAGGATAAGAAAGAGTTATCAGAGGAATCAGAAGATGAAGAATTGCAGTTAGAAGAATTTCCCATGCTAAAGACACTTGATCCTAAAGACTGGAAGGTATGTAATGTCTGAATCTTTTGCTCAGGCAACAATCCAGTGGGTTTTCCATCACCAAGGCATGTATGACAGCAGTTCCGTGAGATAAGTGTGATGGAATGCCACTTCTTCAAGCCTGTGGATGACTTGAGCTAAATTTGTGACTGAGTTTTGAGGAAGAGGTTGGTTGGTTGGTTGTGGTATAATTGACAGGCCTTGGTGACCTTGGCCCACAACAAGGGGAGGAATTCAAAAGACTGGCTTGGGTGACCTGCTAGAGCGTAGTATTAGTGATCAACACTGGGATGCAGGATAAGGAACTTTGCAAGGAGTGATGTGTCACGAGTTTGGCTGTTTCAGAGTTTTGAGTTCTACTGGCAAAATTGTCTCAAAGATAGACATTGGTTGGTGACTCCATGAAGAGATAGACCAAAAGGCAGTGTGACATTGTTGGAACATGGGTGATAGTAGAGGCTGTGAGAAATAGAAGGACACCAGCCATGAGAAAGAATATAGGCCAGCAAGTACTACCTGTGTATGCCATGCAGTTAGAATGCCTGGATTGAAATCTGGTTTGATTGTTCAGTGCACTGGGGTCTTGCAAAAGCTACCAGGAATCTAAGCATCTTTTTCCCTTGTTGATACAGTGAGACTGCTAACAGCTCCTGGGATTATAATGAGGGTGAATGAGATGGTGCATATGGCAGCACATCAAGAGTGGGAGAGAAGGGGCTGGGGAGATAGCTCAGTTGAATAAGTGCTTGCCTGGCAAGCTCAAGGGCTTGAGTTCAATCCCTGGCTCCGCAAAAAAAAAGAGTGGGAGAGAACATGCCAAGCAGGGAGTGACCCAGGACATTGTCTTACTTGGGATGGGTGACAGAGGGGAGGGTATTCAGAGGAGAGGTCTGCAAGGGACATGGGCAGCAACACAGCATTGGCTGACCAAGATGCCCTAGGATCTCCCTGTAGTGTGAGAGAAGAAACCCCAAGGCTGACCCTGAGGGCCATCAGGAAGTCACTGAAGATGGTAGAGAGCAGGTCCGGGAGGTGGAAGCCATGGGAGAGTGACTTCCCAGAAACCTGAGGAAGGCAGTGTTCCAGACTGAAGTCACGGGAGGGTGCAAGTTGATGTGAAGCAGGCAGCCTCATGGCACATGGGGCGGGGTGGTCAGAGCAGAACCAGACTGGAGTGGGTTGAGAAAGGAACGTGGGAGGCGAGGGCGTGGGCGCCTTTCTCAGGAAGCTGAGCTGTGATGGCAGAGCTGTGGGCGCCGACTGCAAAGGCAGTCCCAGCTGAGAGACAGCAGCATCTATTACCTGATGGAAATAACCCATTTGAAACTGAGGAGGAGCTAGCTCGCAGATGCTAATCTCTGAGCTGATTTCAGGATGTCAAGGAAGGATGGAGGAATTTGTCCTTCTCATTTGGGGAGGGAAGGTGTTCAGGTATAGGTAGGCTGAGGGAAAGATTCTGGCTTTCTGGTAGGACAGTTTTAAGTTTTATGAGGCATAATTGATAGAACATGCTGCACAAGTTTGGTGCATGGAGTTTGATGAATGTGGGATAGCTTTAGGTTTGAGTTCTATAGGGGCAGGGTGTCAGCAGGTGGAAAAGGGGTGTGAAGGAGGAAGCAGCTCAGGGTGGAGTGTGGACAGACTGGAGGGTGTTTCGATGCCAGACACAGTAAAGGAGCCCCCTATGCTGCCTAACCCTGCACTGAGGGAAACCAGTCAGCCCTGTGGGCTTTTTTCTCTGAACAGGCCCCTCAAAGCTCCTCTCCCTCTGTACATGGTAGTGACCTCATTCTGAGCTCGCTAAGGAGCCCTTGTTCTGGAAGTCCCTTAGCTTCTCAATTGCTAGGGTCTTGGCCCAGGCAGGTACTTCATGCCCAGGGATGGTTTTCTTTTTTTCTTTTTCTTTTTTTTTAAAGTGTATTTGGTACAGGGTCTCACTATGCAGCTTGCACTCATAGTGATCCTCTTGTTTTCAGCCTCCCGGCTGCTGGGACTACAGGGGTGTGCCACCACGCCCAGTCTTGGTGGCTGACTCAGTGTGTCCCGGGGTGGGGCTGACACAGCATGTTCAGGGATGGTTTTTTGTGAACTTGGGACTTCCGGGGGTGGGATGGTTACAGTATTTCTCTGAGCTTTTATTAGGTTATTTGCATACAAATCACTACGTGTTTAGAGAGTTGGTGCTGGTAGCACATTTAGGGCCAACCCTGAGTACATAATAAGATCCTGTCTCGAAAAAGAAGAAAAGAGGCTGTGCAACTATTTACCTTTCTCACTTCTATGACTACAGAGCCCTTTTTGTAAAGAACCTGCCCCTGACTTCTAGTGGGGAAGTGTCACTTTGGAAAATACAGCATAATAGGAGGATTTATTACTCCAAGTCCAACCAGACCCCCTTTTGTGTTTTTATAGAATCAAGATCATTATGCAGTTCTTGGACTTGGCCATGTGAGATACAAAGCTACACAAAGACAGATAAAAGCAGCTCGTAAGTACTTATTTGGAAATAATCAAACATTTGGCATAGGAAGTGGTATTCTTTTTAAAAGGTATACAGTATTATACTATGTAGATATAACTTTACAAATTTAATAGCATTTATTATATTGTCATACCCATGTAAAGCCAGTCCTTTTACTTCAGAATGAGGAAAAAAAAGTGCCATGCATAGACTTTCTCAGGGATAAGAAATCTATATGTGTGTCTGAAAGAGAGAGAAAGACAGATAAGATAGAGCATTCTGTCAACCTAGCATTCTGGGAGGCAGTCTCCCAAGGCGAGGAGGGTCACAGTTTTAAATCCAACCTCCGCAACTTAGTAAGATCCTGTCTTAAAATAAAAAGGGCTGGGGATATGTGGCTCTGAGCCCTGGGCTCAGTCCCTTGTACCCCAAGCCAAAACAAAACAAATACAGTTGCAAGCTGTTAAAAAATATTCTCCCCTCTTTACAAATGCAGGTAGCCATATTTAGTGGAATCCCATTTAGTTACTTTGGTTTTTTGATATTATGCCTTTGCTGACATCATTCTTTCTGCTGCTAAAGAAAGAGTTATCAGACATTTCAGTGTTATTCTGATGGATAGAGTTAAAAATTGGGGAAAGAAAATACTTGTAACCAAGTCTTCATATGCTTTATAAAACACCACCCCTTAATGTTCCTGAATGCACTGGCTTTTGCATTCTTGTGAACAGAATTCCTTAAGAAATTCACAATAGTGCTGTAACTCATATCTCACTGCCAGATGGCTCTGATTTGAACTCTATCATCCTGCCCACTTGACTCACATGTATTGTTATTAACCTGTCAGTAATACAGAAAACTGAGGCTCATGCATGCTGTCCCACTGGAGGCTTAAGACATAGGAAATGTAAAACCTGACCGTGTTTGATCACAGTAATGCAAAGAAACACGATGACTTAGCAGGCCAAATGTCATCACATTACAGCTTTGTAAGGAAAACATTAAAATTTTGAAATCACTAATTTGTGGTAGAGCTATTGTAAATCCTTGTTACATACAATATATTTATATTTGAGCAGTAATTCAAGTACAAGTAATTTGGCCCATTTGTAGACTTGTAAGTAATTTTATTAATAAAAGGACTGATAAAGTGATTAGACCATTTGCACACCAGTGGTACAAGCTGCCCAATGGGACAGGCATGCACAGGCCATTGGTGGTTCAGGTCGGCAGGAATATGTTCAACATTCATTAACCTGATTAGTGAGGTTTCAAGGAAGAGGTAAAGATGATTAGTGTCCTGTGTTTTATCTTAGAACATCTGCCCTCTGCTGTGGAGTGTGGGTGTTGGGGTGAGAGGAGGTGAGAGGAGGTAAGAGTGGGGCCTTTTGGCACGGACAAAGGGGTCAAGGGCAGTCAAGAGAAGCTGTGGGCTTGGCTGAGTTCAGCTTAATGAGAACTGGGGTCTAGAGTACTCTGAGGGCTTAGGCCCGTGAGTAAACTCAGAACCTTCTCTATGACTCCTCATATTAGGAAAGTCACCAGAAACATTTCTAACAGTGAAGAAATTTATCAGATTAGTTTAGATCTGTACTGGCTTTTTTAAAGGCTAGCATGATTTTAGACTAAGCATAAGTTAATGCTTACGAACTGTTGTTGGAATACAAATAAATGTTAGAAAAGCTTCACTTTCCAAGGAAAACCCTTTGTATAAGAAAGGATAACATGCAAATATAGCTCTTCCGCCTGTTTAATGGCTGTTTGGACTTGCACCCCATCTTTTTATTGCACTGTTCTGTACATCTTGTTTATAGAGTCTCAGTCTGTGCTCGAGTGTGGATGTGGGTGGGTGGGTATAAGTGTGTATGCGTGGACACTGCTGGGGATGGAAGTCATAGGCTCAAGCCCACCAGGAAGGTATTCTAACAGAGATCTCTATCTCTGTTAGATCTACACCTCAATTTTTAAAGTATTTGGATAATTGTCTGTGGGTACTGGCAATCTGGCTAATAAAATAATTACTTCAATTGCTCTGTAATTTTCACATTTTTAATAAGTTTATATTTTACCTCAGAAGAAAAAAAATTTTCCATGATGATTTTAGAGATAGTCTGTATTTAGCCCATGCTTAATTTCAGTTTTGATCCCTAAAGTGACCAGTTAGACTCATTTTGTAGATAAAGCAATGGTGTTAAAACATCACCCAGACAAACGGAAAGCAGCTGGGGAACCCATAAAAGAAGGGGACAATGATTACTTCACCTGCATAACTAAAGGTAAGATATACTTTCTGGTCAGAAATTTCTAATAGTGATTTTTGTTGATTGATTACTGGGGTTGGGTTTCCTATGTATGATGTGGTTCACTTCACTGTACCAGGACATGTATTGTTATTAGCCTGTCAGTAATACAGGACAGCAAGACTCATTGGAGGAAACTGGTACATGATGCACCTTAACTTGATCATTGTCTATCATTTAGTGTCCTCTCCCCTTCTCCTTTCCCCCCTTGCCCATCTCCAGAAGTCTACCTTCCAGTTTCCTGTCCTCTCTCCCTTATTTTATTCATTTATTTATATTTGAGGTTTCTCATGTAACAGGAAACATCCTCTGACACAGGTTATTTGTGCTAATTTCCCATGGTCTCACTGTACAAAGTGAGGTTTCCCTAGCTGGCATTGAAATGACAGTCCCTGGCAATTTGTTAGAAATAGCATCTCAGGTCTTGCTCCAGACCTACTCATCAGCAGCTGTGTTTTCACAGACACCCTAGTGCAGTGACGGCGAACCTTTTAGAGCTTTCAGTGATACAAACAGCCCACTGCTCACAGCCATAGGTTTGCCACCACTGCGCTTAGGTGATTCTTACCGAAAGCCTTTTTTTGCAGAATTGGGAACGAAAGCTCTCTTTACAATTAATTTATGGAAGTATTTAGTGATCTTTTGCCATTTGAAAAATTGTAACATTGCCCTTTTTGGTGTATTAAGTGATGAGAAATTTTTCATTTTAGATTTATCTTTTATTTTTATTTTTTATTTTTTATTTATTTATTTTTTTTTCGCGGAACCGGGGATTGAACTCAGGCCTTTGTGCTTGCCAGGGAAGCGCTTATTCCACTGAGCCACCTCCCCAGCCCCCTAGATTTATGTTTTTAGATTGGTCAATATTCCAATACTAACCCGTTCCTCAGATGTTTTGGGAATTTAAATGAAGCTGATTGGGGCTGACGTTCAGCTCTGCAGCACAGCACTTGCCTAGCATGTTAGCCCCTGATTGCAGTCTCTAGCATTGCCATAAAAGAATTGGATTATATTGTAGTGTATACCTCACAGCTATTAACAATTTACATAGTCATATCCTTCTTAAGCAAATTAATGAGTAACTACTATATCTAAATGTTTCTTAGATGTGATTTTATGTTTTGATGCCTGCCTGTCTCTCTGTCTCTATCTCTGTCTGTCTGTCTGTCTGTCTGTCTCTGTCTCTGTCTCTCTTGCTCGCTCTCAGAAACAATGCATTTGAGGCCTTAACAGTTGCTAGGCGGTCATTCTAGCACTGAGCCACATTCTTAGTACTTCAATGCTACTTTCTGCTCAAGAAGACTATGATTCGTCTACCTTCCAGAGTCTTGGGGTTATTTTTCTAGCAGTTTTGTTTTCCCCAGCATCATCTGCTTTTTTTTTTTTTTTTGGCGGAACCAGGGATTGAATTTAGATCCTTGCGTTTGCTAGTCAAGCGCTTATCCTACTGAGCCATCTCCCCGGCCCCCCATCTGCTTTCTTTAGTCATTATTATTTAAAAATTATTTTGTCATTTGCTGTCAGATGGTATTAAGTCTAGTTATCCAGTAGTGCTAGAACTGTTGTTACTTAAATATTTCCCACACCAAAAGCTCACAAAATTAACTTCTCATAGAATACAGTAGGCACTTACTGTCTTTTTTTTTTGTTCTCAGCTTATGAAATGTTATCTGATCCAGTGAAAAGACGAGCATTTAACAGTATAGATCCTACTTTTGATAACTCAGTTCCATCTAAAAGTGAAGCAAAGGACAATTTCTTTGAAGTATTTTCTCCAGTGTTTGAAAGGAATTCCAGGTGAGTTAAAAATGCCTGTTGGTCATACTGTCCAGGTGGCTTGCTTTGGGCAGTCTTGTAGATTTCTGCTGTTTTCCACTGGCAGTAGTTTTGATTATAAAATATGTCCTCAGGTTCTGCCTCCCCTTTGTGATAGCAAGCCCTTCTAGTGAACTCAGTTTTCTAGCTTTGCTTCTGAAACAGAAGTTCTCCCTTAGTGAAATTTTACAATTTATGAAATGTTTTTCTCCTAACTTTCCTTTGAAGGAAAAACAATGTGTGGCATTATATAGTGTGCTGCAGATCCTTGGGTGATAGCACAGTCCCTTTTGTTTGCTTTTCTTTTCAGTAGGTACAGGTTCACACATTATAACAGAAAAGTTTTCTATTTTATTGTGAACATCTAATTATTAAAAAGACTTCTCTGACAAAGGATGATTCATATTTAAGATGAAAGTATATAGAGCTAGTTTTGTTTTTTAAAGTGTGTTTTAAGTTAGTGCATATAGTATGGCTGTTACCTTCTATTTTCTGGTTCCATCTGCTGGCTGTTTCCTTCACCAAGTGTCTGGTGCACATTGGGATCCCCTGAGAGCTGGGAACAAGCATGCCTGCATCTCCCTGGGGATTCCTTCTTACTTGCTGGTCTCAGTACCTGTGGGGTCTCCAGTGCTTCCAGGTGACGCGTATTCAGCTGTGTTTGTAGAGCACTTAATTAGCATTGTGGTACAGCTCAGTATTTCCTTGGCCTCTTCCCCTGTCTCTTTGTACTCTGTGGAAGACATTATAAGACGCACTCTATCCTGTGTGCTTGTAGTGATTTCATAGGGCAGAAAGCATGAGTCAGTAGCAGCTCTAGGATCTTGTCCAGATGTCACAGGTGAGATGCAGAGCCTCAGGTCTGGCTGAATCAGGGAGGTTTCGAGGAGGGTACAACCTGCTATCTCTGTAAATAAGGCAC